ACAAGGGTGTGAGTGCGCACAAGGGTGTGAGTGCGCACAAGGGTGTGCCCTTGTAAACATGCAGGTCGTCTACACTTATCACCTCAAAAGTCTCTACAAAGGCAAAAACAAAAGTTTAAGGATAACCATCAGGCCTCTAGATCATATGGCTAATTAGGGATGATCTGAGACACAGGACAAAGCTGAGAGGACATAATCCTTCTACTACCTTAAAAACCCCTGGAAAAAGATAATGTCTTGAGAGATCAACTCAATTTCTGTAGCAGACGCTTCAGCCTATCTGAGGAGAACAGCCAGCAATAACAACACAGGTTCTAGAGTGAATATTCTCCCTTACATTCTTTTTCTTGTTTTGTTTTGCTTTTTGAAACAACTTATCTGTATAGCCTGGCTGACCTGGACTGCCAATAGAGAAGAGGCTGGCCTCAAACCCATAGAGACCTGGCTGCCTCTGCCTCCAAGTGCTGGGATTAAAGGGGTGGCCATTACACTGTCCTCCACCCCTACTCTTCCATGACAGCAATTAATGGTGAACCCAAGGAGCTATACCTTGCACCAACAATGCCAAGCTCAGCCTGTCTCTTCTCTAGTAACCAACCACAATACAAGACTATCATCATTCTCTAGCTATGTTCATGAAAGAATGTCAGAGGGGGAAAAAATTAAAGTAAGTATAGCTGATAGCTATGTATATTAATATATTCTTAAAAAACAAACAAATGTTCAGAGAGATTCTAAACTGAAATTTAGAAGTACATTTGGTATACTGTATACCAAAGTAACAAAACTATCAAAATTTAAAAATTAAACAAAAAAGTACATGTGGCGTGCCAGGTTAGAACTGTCACAGAGCTGAAAGAAAATTATAGAATGGCGTTTAGATTGTTTTGGCTTTAAAATAAGTAAAACTGACATACGTACAAGGAACAATAAACCTGTAAACCAATACACTAAAACATGTGGCAAACATTAAAAAAAAAACAAAAAACACCAAAATGATGTAAAAATTCTTTGTTCCACTAATCCTAAAGATTGTTTTTTCTAGGCAAAATTTTAATACAAGTAAAATGACACACATGTATTCATCCAAAGTGAACCACTTGCAGGACATTCTTTCAGAGATATGGAAAGGACCCAGACACTCCACCTGATAGGAAGCATCTATTTACAGCTATGCTGTGACCTAACAGGCTACAGAGGACACTGGAAAATGTCATTACAGAGGCTCATAACAGACTGCTGTGATAAAATGACAGACCACTAAAAACAAAATAGTAATAAACCAACTGCAATTTATGTAATAATTTGGAAAACACTATGAACATTCCTGACATTGGCTCATTTGTAAGAATTCAGTTATTCTTCAACCAACAACTCTTCCAATACAAAAATTTAAAACAATTAAACAGCATCTGTAGGCACTGACAACCCAGTGAAACAGCTTCACAGTCAGCTAAAGACTGCATAATTAACTGACATATACAGCGCTCTCTGCCCTTTACTGTTTTAAAGGAATATGGCTTACCTTAATTCATCCTGCATTTCTGCTACCTGATCCAATAAAATGCTGAGTCGATCCCATCTCATATTTTTACACTCCTTATGGAAATCAAAGGCAATGTACCTACCAAAAAGCACATACACAAAAGCTGTGTATTTTCTTCTATTCTAACCCCCTATGAGATTTTTTTTATATCAGAGCATGCATCATGCTGAGGAATATAGAGCCTTTCTTCAATCTGGATTTACTACTACCACTAACACACACACACTCACAACCCCTCCTATGCTCATATCTGTGGTGGGGGGCAAATTAATTAAATTTGTAAGATCAATTTTATTTTCACGTTATTCTTGGGACCTGCAGATAAAAGTAGAGAAACACAGTAAATGCTAGTGAAGCGGATCCAATTAACAGTATTGAGGTGGATATTTCAAGAGGTACAATCCAACTGAATAATATATTTTCTATTTCTACATGCAAACAATGTGGTTTCTTTTTACCATTTTTCAGATCAATATGTTAAAAGTATTAAAACTCAGCTCAGAATATGTTGGATTAGGTTGGGTATCTGTTGTGTACTAGGGCTTGTAAGAAGTGCAAACAAGCTAGATAGTCCCTATAGTGTTAGCTACTGCCCAACCCAAGCCCCCCCATACACAAAAATTACCTTCCTTTACCATCATCTACACATTACATATGTGCAGAAAAAAAATGTGTTAATCTTTACAGTGACCTACTATTTATGAAGTACAAGTCTAAAGTTAGAAGACATGTAAATGCGAAGGTGTCCTACCATTTGTCACCTTCCTTTAGAAGGTGCCAAGCTCAGACAGTCAGTGGAGAAGACTGACTACATCAAGAATGGTGGATACCCCAAGTTACTCAGGGATCACCACAAGCAGGAAAACTGGAAGGATATTGTGCTCCCATCTGAAGAGTGAAAACGCAGACAACGCATCCACTGCTGTCTAACTACCTTGCTCTGTCCACACAGTGTGGGCTTCTAGCATATAAGAGACTCCACCACCTCAATGGTTCTCAAGAGAAAGGTAACCCCAGAAATTAGCACAAAATAAATGTGGGCCAATGACAGGAAACAAGAGGGCATCTTAAAAGGCAATTTCAATAAAAGTAGCACTATAATTTCAGTGTTCCGACCAGGACTATTAGCTGTAGCTTTCCGTTAAGCAGACCATCACATTGAGTCTCCAAAGATACTGCTACAGATGAGGTAACTACATAAGTTAAAGTGGTCCAGCTCATGCGGTGGTAAAGACCACGTCAAGTAAAAAACTGAAAGGAGGAGGCTGAAGCGGTAGTGCAGCAGTTAAGAGCATTGGATGCTATTCTGGAAGACCCAGGTTTGACTCCCAATATTCACATGGCATCTCACAACCAACTATAACTCCAATTCCATGGGATCCAGTGCTCTCTTCTGGTCTCAGTGGGCACTGTATGCATGTGAGGCAGACATACATCTAGGCAAAACACTCATACATATAAAACCTTAAAAATCTTTAAAAATAAAAATAAAAAACCCACACTCATGACCTAATAGGCCATTGCTTTGCAAAACCTTGGTGATGAGATTTTTTAACTAGGAACCAAACTCAAATTTGACTGTAAAATTACTCTGTAATATAAAGTATAGCAGAGAAAATTTCAAACCAACAGAAAGGAAAATTATGCTTTGATCTGGTACTGGAATGTAAACAGAGAAATAGAGATGGCTCAGCCATTTTGAGCACTTGCTGCTCTTCCAGAAAACCCACGTTCAGTGTCCATAGTGAGCTGCTTACATCCAGCCTCCTTAGGCACCCCACATGCTCACATATACACTTCTTTTTTAATGCAAGTTTAAATACAACAGCATACTTTTTGTATTCATATATGTAAGTACACATGTAACTTGACAGGATCTACAACAGTCACCAGTGAGATACCTGATCATCCCACTACCCAAGGATGACACCATTTTTGCAAATGTTTGCTCAAGTGGTTTCTCTGATCCCTTGTGGTTCACCTGTTTAAAAAAAAAAAAAATTAAAACAGTATGACTTTCTATTTAGATAGCGATTCCAGGAAACTCTAAGCTTTCATTTTGGCACAGAAATACTAAAAGGAAGAGGAAGTCATCTGAACCAACTTTGTAGGACATACGGAAAAGCAATCAAAGTTTACAGTAACCAATAAAATGTCTATCAAGAAAAAGCCACTTTCCAAGCTATACGGTATGTCTTCAGCATTCTGTCCTTTCCCCTCCATGCAGGGTGATGAATTTGTGGCAAACAACAGCAACTGACTACAGCTCCCTTCTTCAGACCAGAGCCAATGTACACAAAACTGTGCACACCTGAATTACCTCTGTGAACGAAGGTCAAAAACATCGGACTGACTGTAAAAGCTACAACTGTACTATGTTTAGCCAATGGATACCTGGGGCAAGAGCTTCTTTCTGGATAGAGACATAAAATAGACCACCTAAGGTCTAGACAAACCAAGTGATGCTCTTTAGAAAATAGGACATTCAAAAGTAGCAATGTATATGAAAGACTTCAGAAAGCTACTTCCATACTCAGGCAAGAAACATGTCCAGAAAAATCCCAATACTGAAAACATCACCACCCATTGTTCTTCGGCCTTGAAACAAGCCTGGCTAACTGGTAAGCGAATGGCTGTCTCAGGACGGAGCCAGTTTGCAAAGAGAAGACATGTTGTTGTTGTTGTTTTAAAAGATTGATTTATTTATTTATGTATACAGTGTCCTGCCTGCCTGCATGTACACCTGCATGCCAGAAGAGGGCAGCAGAGCTCATTACAGATGACTGTGAGCTACCATGTGGTTCCTGGGAATTGAACTCAGGACCTCTGGAAGAGGAGACAGGCTCTTAACTGCTGAGCCATCTCTCCAGCCCGACAGATTGTTCTTTTGTTTTACTTTGTTATTTTGTCTTTTCTCAATTCCTAGAATTCAATGAAATCTGCCAAAACATTAGCTGAACATACTAAAAAAAAGTCTTTAGTGAGCGCACATTATGAGAAAGATCTTTACAAAAGAATCTAGAAAGTCTCACAACAAATGGGTCACTATAATCTTTAACAATCAAAAAACTAAAACAACAAACAAAGCACAAGCAGCTCTAAAAAGAAAACTGACTCCAGTGTTACCACATTATAATTATCAAAGACATAATTTTTAAGGAAAATCAGTCATACAAACAGAAAAAAAATGGCTTATCCAACAGACCAGAATTTAAGAGATAAAACAGTGATAAGAGTAAATTTTATTACTGTAAATGTGTATATTAAAAACAAACAAACTAGTTGGATATGGTAGCAAAATACTTTTAATTCTAGCATTTGAGGCAGAAGTAGGCAGATTTTTCTGAGTTCAAGAAGGATGTGGGTTCAATTCTCAGCATCTACACAGTGGCTCACAACCATCTATAACTACAGTTATGGGGGATCTGATGATAGCTTCTGTCCTCTGTGGACACCAGGAACACACATGGAACACATAAATAAATACAGGTGACATTGACATACTTACACAAATGAAAATAAAAATAAGTAAATATTTAAAAATAAAAGAAGGAAAGAAGAAAAAGAAAGTTTCAAATCAGTAACTTAACTTCACACATTAAGGAGCTTAAAAATAAAAAAAAAAAAGGAAAACCAAAAAAGACAAAAAGCAATGTTGTAACCAAATAAACATTGATTAAGATCAGTAACAATGATAAGCTAAAAAGATCAATAGCAATGATAAGCTCAGCTACAATGAATAAGAAAAAAGAGGCAAGCTTCAAATTACTAAACCAATAATGGTAATAATGGTAATGAGGACACTGTGAATAACTTTTAGAGAAATAAACAAGAATTTTGAGAGGATACTATAGATACTCATATACCAAAAAAATGTGGTATATTAACTTAGAGTTAAACAAATTTCTAAAAAAGAAAACACACACAATCTCCTAAAACTGAGCTGTGTAGAGAAATAGAAAACTGAAGTAGAATGCTGGATACGGTGGCTCACACATGCAATCCGGCACTTGGGAGGCTGGGATGGAAGGAACACTAAGAGTTCAAAAGTAGCATGGGCTAACAGTGAGACCTTGCCCTGACCTCACCACCTTCTCCCTCCACAGAAGGGAAATCTAAACTGACTAGTAAGTAGGAAGGAGACTGCATCAGGGTTAAAGGAAAGCCTCAGACCAGGTGGCTTCACTATCAGTTTCACTAATCCAAAAGTTTCAGGATTTAATAAGGATTAGTACTGCTTTTCTTTAAACTCCTTCACTATGCTCTTTAACTCATTCATAATAACCAAAGAGTAGAAATAAACCAAATGTCTATCAATTATGAACAAGATGTCTTATATTCTTAAAATATTATTCAGTCTTTAAAAGTAATGTGATTCTGATAAACATGGGTGAATCTTTAAAATGTTATAATAAATGAAACAAGTAAAACACTGAGTAAAATACTGTATAATTCTACAAACATGAGGAACATAAAACAGACAAATTCAGAAGAAAGAGGGTAAAGTAAAACAGAAGCATGAGGAGCTAGGGGGAGATGGTAAAAGACAGACTGTTTACCAGGGTCAGAGTTTCTGTTTGGTCTAAGAAAAAGGTCATAGAAACGTTAATTTAAAAATTAATTTTCCTGTTAATTAAAAAGTTTTTGTTTTGTTGCCTGAACCCCCAAAGCATTCAAACCTACCAGATTAATTATGACCTGCTTTCCATAAATAATTACTTGTGAATCAAAATGCCTTTGAAAACCATCCATCTAAAAGAAGACAAAGGTATAAGTTTATTAGACTATATTATATGATTATTTACCATATTTTTAAAAATATCCCCTTAACTATCCCATTTCTATACTCAAGAGAATGTCAGGGTGAGGACCATGCTTTCTGGATGCTGGAAACACCATGAGGGAAGTAGTTATTACAGCCATTTTATGCTGCACTACAGTATCACACTATTTGAATTCTGAATGCAACTTAAGACAGACACAGCACATTCTATAAACTCCACTGATGTCTCCCAAGTGCCCATCTGTCATGCCGCTCACCGAGTCTCTGATCTAGTACTTGTAACATGTTATTTGAGGTAGTTTGTTCTACAGCCCAGGAAAAGGGACTTGAGGGTGCTAAATTCTGACTTGTGGGGAACAATGTTCTATACACAAATCAAAAAGGAACTTAGGTTCTATTTAACCAGTAAAAAGATCAGGAAGATACATACATGATTTGCTACTTTGTTGATCTGTGGCTGTGGTTTATACTTTAGATTTGGTCTTTGTGACCAGAAAACAGGTATTGATCCTCGAGTCTAAAGAAAAGAGGGAAATGTGAAAAGAAAGATACATGAACTAGTTTTCTCAACCCAATTATTGTAAGCAGTATAGATATTAACAACTTTGCAAAGAAAAACAAAACAATCTACCAGGTATAAAAGTCTATATGCACCCTCTTTAATTCTCTGTTTTGGTGGGTGTGGTGGCACACACCTTTAATCCAGCACTAGGAGGCAGAGGCAGGCAGATCTCTCTGCAGTGGAGGTCAGCCTGGTCTACACAGAGAATTCCAGGACATCCAGGACTACCTAGAGACCCTGCCTCAATACATACAGAATACATGGAGACAGGATATATACATAATACATACAGTCTGGTGTTCCAGGAAAATACCTAAAAAGCATGGTTTCATACATGGCACATGTATAATAGAAAGTTCCATATATTCCTTAAGTTCTAAAGCAAACAAATTTATCTACAGTAAAAGTTAACTCTATCTATCTATCTATCTATCTATCTATCTATCTATCTATCTATCT